AAGGCGGAAGGGGAGGATGGGAGAGAAGTGAAGCTGGGGAACTCGGCAGAGGGTGGAGAACGCCTGCAGGGGTGGAGCTGAGGGGAAAGCACCGGCCGGGGGCCTGGAAACTTGGGTTTTTGCTCATAGATTCACCACCAAGTCGTTGGGAGGGGTAGGTCCCTCTTACTGTCCATGTCCAGCTCCCTCAGTTGCACCCCTGGGTCCACCTTTGTCACTCCTGTCCCTCTGTCATCTCATTGCCTTGGAAAGGGAGTGTGTGTGTGTCAAATAGATGGGGCCCTGTAGGTTCTAATCCTGGTTTTTCCATAACTTCCTGTGTGACCTGGGGCAACTCACCATCACTCTCTGGGCTCTTTTGTAAAACAAAGATCTCGTAGTTCTGACTGCCTGGCTCTGGGTGTGGGCATGTCTCCCAGTGCCAGCCCCTCTTACGTGACCTGGAATCCTCAACCTGCCTCCCCGCTCCACTCTGCAGCTCACCTTCTTAGGTTTTCCAGACCATTCACAAGGCTAGGGCTTTGAATGTCTGCGGAGTTTTGACGTTTGCCACTGACTGTGGCGAGTGTACACCCGGAGCCCCGTGATGCAGTCTCGGTGATCTCAGAGTCTTTTCTCCGTTCTACAGGACAGACACGCCCTTGCAAGAAACCTTCCCTCATTGACTGCATGATAAATTGTCCTGACCCTAAAAGTGAGTGAGAACCAAGAGCTGACCTCAGATGTTAGTTTTACTCTGGGGAGTTGAGGGTTTTAGCATTCTAAAAGAGGAAGTTAGTAGTAAGTGAAGAAATGAGTAATATGACTTGGGGAAGATAAACTGGATTCCAGGGACCTGAGGCAGACACATGGGAGTGGTGGTGGTAGGACATTCAATGGGGCCATAAAGACAAGAACGGAGGACCACGATGTGCTGGCTCCAAGGCTGGAGACTCCGCAGCCACCTTGACCTGTGCAAAGGGCCATCGTGCCCAAGACAGACTGGGTTTCCTCCACACAGCCCCAGGGACAGAGCTTGGCCCCCTGGGAGGAAGGAGCAAGGAGGTGGGCCAGGTAGAATGAGCATTTCCAACAGTTGTTCTGCGTCATTCATTTCTGCCCTGATGGAAAGGAAACTTTCTCAAATGTATCACCTGCTTCCTGTCCCTGAGAGTGGAAACTTTGAGATTTGACCTTTTTTGCAGGTAACTCAAAGTCAAAGTGATTCATATTATGCATTTTACCGATGCCCAAAAGCCACATCGAGACTGAGAGTCATTTGTCCACACCGGGCCATTTAGAAGACACTAAAAGGCCTGCATGAGATGCTTTTTAAGTTCTTATAAGTACTTTTAATAATGTCCTTCCCTGCTGCCAGGTTGTCGTTTCTCATTGCTATAATTCTATGTGTAACAAACCTTTTTGCTACCTCAAAAAAAATTTTAAAACACAGACATTCACACTTTCATTTCTGAAAGGTGAATCATTTCAAAATCGTCAAATATTACAATATTTTCTTTATATTTGTAGTATATGAAAAAAGGCAAATATAATTTACCCACAAACACACACAGTAATAGTAATATCAATAAGAATATAGCTGATAACTTCAATATTTATAATGTTTTACCAGAGCCCTGGTATACACAGTACTTAAACATTATGATATAATCTTAAATTATTTTTCCTTCAACTACAAGTCACTTAAAGATAAAAAGTATTTTATTTAAATAGAATATAATATCAAGTCACATTTAATGAACTCTTTGCATATTTCATATCCAAAGCTTTTAAATGGTCATTTTCATCCGGTTTTAATTTTAAAACATATCACATGAGATAAGATAGTTGAAACCTGACATAGACATCGAGTTTCCAGAAACATAAAGGGGAAATATTAAAACTATTTTAATGTTTTCAGGACAACAGATCATTAATTTTAAATTCCTGAATACTGGATATAGGGAAAGCTGAAAAACTTTTTTTTTTTAATTAAAAGGCATAATATAATATTTTAGAATATTCTTTATAATATAAATCTACATCTGAAGAATCCTACATCTAATCAAAAAATCGCATAGTTTCACTAAAACGTGAATTTGTACTTTTTCACAATTGTTGGGTGGTTTTTATAAAAATAAAGCAGTTTCCTTAGGAAAAAAAAAAAAATCTGCCAAATGGAATATCTTCATTCTAGAGGGAAAAAAAAAAGGCTTTTTCCTCTGAAAATAATGAAGTTTAGTCCCTGGCTACATGAACATTCACTGACTTATTCAAATAAAAACACATTCTTATGCTTCTAGAAACTAGTTTTCACTAGCAGAGTCTGAAAGAGTTTCTGGACATTGTCCCAAAATGTCAAGATCCACAAGCAAGCGTCAGCGAACACCTGCTGGATCAGCTCCACCACCATTAAATGCGTCTGTCTGGAGGGACAGAAAGGTGATGACATTCCACGGTCCTGTCATATCACCTAGTGTCCTCTTTTTCCAACCATAGATTCACAAATGTTTGAACTTATATTTAAACTTGATATCATTTAATGGTGGTAAAATGCCCAAGCCTGCACGGGATTGGTCCAAAGGGGGACATTTAACACGGCTCTCTACAAGCTCTAGTTCAAAGTAGAAAAGCATCAGAATCAAAAATTGTTTGATTTCCTGAACAGCAAATAATCTTCCAGGACATATTGTAGCTCCTGACCCAAAAGGCATATAGCAGTATTTTAACTTGAGTCCATTGCTATAGAAAGTGGTTTTTGCCTTCCCATTTTCATCAAGATATCGATCATATTTAAAAGTCTGCAATAAAAAATAGAAAGAAAACAAACTCATAAGCTAGTTTTAAATAAATTTATCATTTTCTTGACCTGGAAACTCTAAAGAATAATTTTTTAAATTCGATTTATTAGAAATTTAGCAAATACCCTCCCACGAATCAGAAAGTAATAAGGAATGGAAGTTTAGTGAGAGCTGATGGGGACTAGAAAGCTTTATGATACTGCCTGGGTCACTAGTTCCTCAGGCAGAATGAGAAAGAGGGTTCTGATCAGAAACTGGGATATTATCAGCCCCTAAGCCTCTAATTTTCTGTGAGCAGGTATTTTTAAGGAACAAGAAAGGCAGCAACTTTATTATCACAACTGCAGATATAATCTAGCGGAGATTATATGGATGACAAATATCAGGAAAATAGGAAAAATTCAGGCCATCATCCAGGTTTTCCAAAACACATATTTGACATAATAAAGGAGACAGTTCTTATGGCTTTAGTGATGATTCTGCAATGGTAAATTTCCTCTTTATTTCGATTTGGACAGACATCACCTGGATATTGAACTTGGATGAACAGGCACTTACCAAAGGGTCTGGGTAGATTTCTGGATCTAAATGCATTAACTGCGGGTAAAGTGCTATGATGTCGTCTTTGCGGATATGATAGGAACCATCCTGGAGGTGCAAAGTGAAATCCTCTTTAGCAGTTCGGATGTTCAGGGAGGCACTAGAAAGCCTCAGGGATTCCTTGATGATACTATCTAAATATTTTAAAAGGTAAAACGGAGAGGAGGAAAAGAGGGAAGGTAAAAGGAAGAACAAATAAACTATTGAAAGGCCACATAATAGAGTCAGAAATACTTCTAGCAGCCTGTAACACAAAACTAAACAGACTATGGGAAGCTAGCTAGATACAAATTTCCCAGACTTTTTCTGTTACCACTGTGTTGTGATCAGTGATTCAGTCGTGTCAGAATGTATTTTTTAATCTGATCATCTAATTTAATAATAATCTTTTAATAAATATATAATCTTCTGGGTCATCAATGAAAACTTGATTTTCATATTTTTATGGAAAAATATTTTATTTCTACATGACACTTGGCGATAAAATTGGGAAAATCAGTAAATCACTTTTATGTGGATTATTCCAAGTTTATCACTTTTCGATTTAATATACTGATAACACTTTTATTTAGAAACATTTTTCCAGATATTTAATGCAGCTTCATTTCAGCGTTTACAAGAACTTATTTTTATCATACTATCCAATGTTGTATGACAATGCCCTGCTGCCTGGTAAACACATAAAGGGACAAAAAGAACCATCCTAAGAATAGCTAAAATATACAGATCTAATGAGAAGGTCCAGCCTGACCTTCCAGCCTCTATCCTTTTAATTGCCATGTTTGGGGCGCTCATTTCATGATTGTGTGTAAAATCATAACATGTGAGCACTTTATTTTACAAATAAGAAAAGTAAGACCCCAAAATGAAGTGACATGTCCGAGGTCTCCGTGGCAAGGCAGAGCCCAACATGACATCTATGCCTCTTGCCTCCTAGTCCCTTCCATAAGACACAGTGCCCCTGAAAGCGTCCATTGGCTTCTTTCCTCCAGGCAAAAATAACAAAAATGAAAAGAAAACTCTTTCTTACTATAAAAATATAGTAGTTTTTGTATTTCTGTAAAATATAGAGAAGGAAAAATAAGAAAAACAAAATAACCTTCAATCCCATCATACAATCAATGCTGCTAATTGCAGTTTCTTGATGGTACTTTTCCCCTCTTCATTTCATGGAAATGAATAATATGCTCCCATTAACCATAAAATTAATGTAATAACAGAGGAGACAGAGTGGGGCAGTGCACAGAAGTGATTGAGAGTGTGGAGTCGAGACCCACGATAATGTTGTAATTGGTTCCACTGTTTGATCTCAGACGGTAATTCAACCTCTAAGAGACAGTTTTGTCACTTGTTACACAGAAACAGGAACAGGATTGCTGTGAGAATCGAAAGAGACAGCACATACGAAATACCTAGCATAATGCCTAGAACAAGTACTTTGGTAGGACATAGTAAATGAAATTTAATGAAATACTTAAGTCAAGCATACCTAGCACTGGCATGTCATTCAGTTGCATTGAATTCAAACAAATAGGATTGCCTTCAAAGCTGATTTTTTGGCCAGCGTTCTCCAGTGTTTTATTCACTTCTTCAGTAGCTGCTTTCATTGCTTCAGGGCTCCTATTAAGAGTTAATAAAAAAGTAAAGATGTACAGAAAATAAATTGTTTCTACACCAAAAGATCATCACACAGACCGAAAGCATGAGAAGGTACCATGAGTCTTTTCCTATTTTAATTGTTGAATTTCTGCCTTCTATTAAAAGAAAGAACTGGATAAGCTGCTAGTTACCTAATCATTTGAAATAAGCTCCAGAAAGTGGCAGGAATGGTGTTTGCTTGCGATGCCCACAGGACAGCGAGCTGCATCTTGGCGTTCTCCATGTCATCTGAGGTGGAGAGCATGTCATTCAGAAACCTGACCAGTTCTGACAAGTGGTCTCTCTTCCCCAGGTTCTCATGCCTCAAGCTGTCTGCCAGTTTTTCCCGGGCATGGTGTGCAGACTTGAACATGTGAATGGGAAGGCCTGCTACCAGGGCTGGAAAGATTTTATCAAATTGCTTGAAGTTGTCGAGGTTATTTAGAATAAGTGTTTTTTGTTCATCTTGTCCCGTAAGATCTTGGCCAAAGAGAGTTAAATACCCAGCTTCAAACATCACTCGGTAGCAAAAAGAATACATCCCTTCTGTCACCCAGGCAGGCATCTTTGATTCGGGTACGACCGGAGGTCTCATGACAAGTTGGAGGTTTTTCATCATGGCTTCTGTGAGGGAATTCAAGGCATCGCCCTGCAAAGTTTTGACAAAAGCTTTGCTTATTTTTTCCGTAGTATTTCCATCACTTGGGTCAATGGTTCTGTGCCCAAATGCCTGGCGGTAAATGAAACGTGTGGAAAAAGAAATTAAACCTGACCCAGTACTAGTAAATGGCTGAAAACAAACTAGATTCTTTCATAATTGCGAGTGTTTCTTTTTCTTTTTCTTTTTTAAAAAAGTTTACTTGTTAAAAAAAACGGAGCTGCTGGATATTGGCCTTCCCACATACAATTTCACAGCACTTAACTAATAAATAGCTAAATCACGCCATTCCTTTACAGCCAAGTTTAAATCCCAGCTCTTCAGTGACACTTCCCTCAACCTCTCTATTTGTCCATTTCTTATTTTTCTTATGCTAGAACATTTATTTGCACATGAATTTGCTACTAATCAGTAATAGTTTTTAACCATTAGTTCTTTATATTTTTTGTGAACTTTAATCTGTGTAGAGGCAGACACCATATTTCTTTAGAGATTCAGTAAATATTGGCTCTTTTCTCTATAAAGGAGCTTCTTAGATTACATCTAAGTGATGGCAAAATATCTGGTCAATTCCTTAACAGAATTAAACAACGGTGTGGCATTAGTGCGGTAAAATAAAATAATTGATTGAATAATGCACTCGGGGTGCTGTGGGCTTTGTTGACATGAGTGAGTTTATACCGCCCTTACCATACAGTGCCATCTGGCTCAGTAAAGTGTTTCAGTTTTATTTCACTCGCATTAGCTGGTTAAAAAAAAAAAAATGACAAATCTATACCTATTTGACTTTTTAAATGATTAGTACTAAGAAGTTGTGTCTAATTTGATTATATTTCTAAGAATCTCTGTGTAAGGGTAACTCACTTCAGCATCTCTATCTTTACATCAAAGAATCTCAAAATGACTAAGTAGACTGACATATTAAAAAGTAGAAAAAAAAACAAATAGAATGCAAAACAGGTTACCTTTGCAGAAGTAGTAAAATGAAATTTTTTCCAATCCAGGTATTTCCCATGGCACAACACTTTTTGGTATGATAAGGGATTTGTAATGAAGTGGACGTAGTTCCCCATTAGTCTGCAGGTAAAAACATGACCATGTTTCCTTTGATTTGCTCTGAGGAACTCAAGAGGGTTGGCACCAAATTGCAGAGCACATCCCAGGTATGGAATCAACCCATTCTCCAGAGGTGGTTCTCCTATTTGTCTGTAAGACACAAATATATGATAGATATGGACAATTGCACACTGTTCGTTTTTTTTTTTTAATTTAAACGAAGTTTTTAAATTTTTACTATTGACTTTAAACTTCAAAACTCCACAGTCGATCATTTTTTTTGTGTTGATGGGGCCCCGCTCCTTTATTAATGGGTTATATTAACCTAATAAGATGATATGTTTGTGACAATAATTACTAAATCCACCCACTCATCCATCCATCCACCCATGCTTACGTTTCACGAACACCTACTGAATGTTATGCTAATCGCTTTTCCCAATGAGGAGGATAAAAGGATGAACAAAGGCAAGAGTTTTGCTCTCAATACAGAGAAAAAACTACATTCTAGCATTTATGTTTTTCCTAAGCATCATTTGCCTAAGTATCTGTTTTCTTTAGAGATACAGAATATTGAATAAGAGAGGATTGCAGAATAGAAGTTTTCAAAATCTTCATAGTTTAAAGATATTATTATACTGTGATGATAGTTAAAGATAAGGAGAAACTCATTTGAGAAATTAGCTTATGATAAAATGAAATTAAGTAAGATATGTATTGACAGGATCATCAATTGCAATTCAATGATTTTTTATGTTATTTTAAATATTTTTATTAAAGAATAGAAACATTTATTTTCCAACATAAACTACCACCATTCTTGATAGAATCACATAGCATAAAACAACTATTTTTATTTTCTTAGTTCAAAGATAAGTAGTTTAATTAAAACTAGAAACTAGTAAGGCTGAATTAAAACACTTTAGGGGATAAAAAACCTTGTAAAAGGTAAACAACACATAGAAATCTACATAGCTGAAGCTATGCTCTGGATGATTCTATCTTTTAGAGATTGACATAACAGAGAATATTTACAACCTCCTCCCCACCCCGCCCCCAAATACTCTTTGAGCCAATCAGAAGTTAGATAAACTATAGCTATGTATTTGACTCTATTTGTATTTCTTGTATTTTTAAACCAGTTATTAATGAATAACACCTATAAATAAAAGTTATGTCACATCCACTTAGCAGTTTTCCAGTTCGCTATGATTGAATATCATTAATAAGAGAAAAGTAATAACATGATCAATGCAGGCCCTGTGCTGTTGTCCAAACTTAGGCTGAGTTTACACAATGCACAAGAACTGGCTGAAGAGAGAACATTTATTTAGTCAGAGCATCTATTTAATCCACATGATAGAAAGAAACCCTTCTCGTTGCATATCCCACTTACCACTTAAATCCTAATCGAGACTTCCTCTTTATATACCCAGTAAACATACACAGAGATCTCATAAGATTTGTCAGTTATGTTTAACAAGTTTGTACATTTTTGCATTACCATTGGTATGTCAATACTAAAAAGAAAACACTGCCACTATACCTTTTGTTAGACATAATTTAAAAAATATCACTTTAAAATTTTCAATTTTCAATTTTTTTGATTTGAGAAAAAAATGCTAGTTTTTATACAGAAAGCCAAATTTATTAACTGAATAAATCTTTTCTTACCTTCTCCTTATTCCAAGAATAAGCCATAAACAACAGCACACTGCTGTAACAATCCCCCAGATCAAAGATATGGTCATTTTTTTGCAAATCTAATGCAAAATTTCTGAGGACTATCTGATTAGAAAGATAAGGGTCTTGCTGAATAGAAACTGTAGCTAGACTTTTTATATTTGGTAAGATCTTGCACTTGAGTGACTAAAGTAAATATCCTATCAGAAAAAAAAAAATGGCCTTGAACTAAGTCCACAGGATCAGAAGAGGTTCCAAAACAATTAGAGATCTGCAATACATGATAAGTTGAAGGTCTTTCAAACACAAGTTTAGCATGTTTATAAAAAGAGCAAATAAACCTCTTCAAGATGAACATGTCAAATAGAGATGTAAAGTATAATAATTTAAAGAAAAATAAGCATAAGTTATCATCAAGCTAGTGATTTGCTCTCGTTACCTTTTGAAGAAGAAATCAATTTAAATAGTTTACAAGAGAGACAGTGGTTAAGTTCAAAGGAAAGAGAACTGGGTGAAATGTTTCTGGGCCTTCGTGTCTCAGTGCTTTTACACAATCACGGGTATTTTACTATATATAGTAACTGTTACTTACCTAACACCCTCAAGAAAGTATCCCACATAAATGCATCTTCTGATTAAACAGTTTTATGTAGGCATCAAAACTTTATCAACTATTTTGTCTAATTAAAAATGTTTATTGATTTTTCTAATTGTTAAAGTAACACAATTTTTTTTCAAATAACTTAAAACTAACTAAAACATGTCTTGGTAGGAAGTGAAAGCTGATTAACAATTTATCATCCCCACTACTCTCCACTCAAAGGTAACCACTGTTAACTGGTATATATTCTTCCAAACTTTATTTCCATGCACACACATATACTAATTGAGCACCTATTCTGTGCCAAGAACTCTTAAAAGGTATTCTGGTTGCTGGCATTAAAAAGATGGGCAGATTCTCTACTCTAAGGGGGTTCTATTTCAATAAGGAGATAATAAAATATGTGTTATGAATAAAATAAAACAAGTTGTAAAGAGCTTTTGGGGGATAAGAGCAATTTTAGGTTTGGTGATCAAGAAAAGGCTCTTTGAGGAGGTAGGTGATGGTCAAGATCTGAATGACAAGAAGGGATTAACCAAGTGAAAAATCAGAATTTCAGAAAGAAGGAGCACCAAATACAAAGGTCTTGAGTCAAGGATGAACTTGGTACATCTAAGAACCAGAATGAAGGTAAGATAGATTGGAGCAGAGTGAATGAGGGACAACTCGGTTAAGATATAAAGACAAAAAGTAGTCAAGAACTAATTCATATATAAGGGTGCAGTAGAGTAAGGAGAGACAGATTTTGACCTGGGCAACAGGTCAAAATACTATTTTGGACATTTGAAATTTAAGAGACCTATTAGATATCAAGGATCGATATCAAATTGACAGTTGAACTTAAGAGTCTGAAGCAAGATAAAAAAGGCAGAGTTGGAAGTAGAAATCTCAAGTCATCACCATTTAGATGGTATTTAAAGCCAAAAGACTTTATAAGGTCACCTAAGGAGATAATAAAAACTGAGAAAAGAATAGTCCAACACCAGGCATTGCATTTACTGAGGTCAGGCAGAGAGCAAAAGAAGGAATGGATAAAAAAGAACTAGGATGAAACTCAAGAAAAAATAGTGTCTCAAAAAACAAGAGGAGAATCATTTGAAGAAACTATATCACACACTACTGGTGTCAAGTAAGATGTCAAAAAATTGATCACCAGATTTGACAACATGGAGGCAGCTGGTGAGTCACACAAACACACACACAAAGATGTGTGTGGGTTATATAAAAGAACTGTTTAATAGCATGTAAAAAAATGAATTCATATTGTGAATATTTCCTGTGACGATACATATCTATGTATCGTATATATGTGTATGTTTATATATCTTTATTTCTAATGTGTGTATAGTTTTCCATTGACTGAATATACTATAATTTAGCTTACTGATTCCCAATTGGTGGACATTTGGTTTGTTTTCGATTTTTGGCTATAGAAACCATAGATTTATTTCATGCTTTTTTGCCTCCTTAAAGAGAGAACACAGATCTTTTTATGTGTGTGATTATGATCATAATTATTATTATTAATAAATTTATGGTAGAGGTTCTCAATCTATTTAGGTTTTCTAGGGCTTTGTGTACATTAAACATATTTAGTCTGATGTGCTTTTTAAAATTACTATATCTATTTTCTATACGACTCAATAATAGCTAAACATTTGCATGGCCCGACACAGCAGGATATCACAATTAGAGAAAAGACCAATCTAATATACAAACAATTTAACCTTTTAGAGTCACCTTGAGACAGGAAGCCAACTTCCTGCTGTTGAGTCAGTCGGAAAGATCAGCTGCTGGCGCCTGATAAGTTTCCCAAGAATACCCGCCTCAGGTACCACCGATGGGCATCAGGGAGCCTTGGGAGGCATGCCAGCAACGAGACGTTTCTATCACTGCACATGCGCAGTAAGGCCCAAGAGTATCCCTAAACTGACCTTTCTCAAATTTAAATACTAAAAGTGACATCGGAAGATGGCGCATCATGCAAATGAGACATGTGATGCATGAAGGGCATGTAATCACACTCCCAAGGCGTCAAGAAACCTCCGTTTTTACGAGCCCGGACTGAGCTTTTACCCTTCCAAGCCCCCTTTACAGTCTTGTCCCAACTTCTCTAGAGGACCCACTGGAACCTTTCCTTTCTGGGTGTTGGGTCCCTTGTGCACAGGCTTAATAAACATTTGTCTCTTGCCTGAACTTTCGTGTGGTGATCTCTTGATTTCCATCCTGGGAGGTTGTAAAGACCCAGGATGCAGGTAAAAACCTCTCAAACAAAAATCAGAAAAAAAACTATCATAAAGGAAAAAGGACATGGCACTATCTCTGCAATTTCTTGTGAATATAATTAGAAAAAAATTAAAAGATTTTCAAAATGGTAAAAGGAAATACATTCACAACCCTGGGAAAACTTCCTTAAGTCTTGTCTTCATCACCCCCTCCCGGAATATCATAAACTCCTTTTAAGAGAGGAGAGGAGACATCTGAAAAATGTAAAGGAAAGGGCCTGCAGAAATGACCGACCCAGCTGGTGAAAGTCCATTCCTAACTGCCCTCTTCCCCCATCCCCTCCAGGACTCTCCAGCTAACACGTTTTCCCAGAGCTACCTCCCCACCTCAAGGACTCTCAAGCTCACATTTGTCAGTTCCTAGCTTGCCATCCAACTAATGTTCTTCCTTATCTCTGTAGCTGTGTAGGAATAACAAGACTGTATAAAACTGCCTGTTATGTTACCATCGGGGCTCAGATTTTGGATAGGAACCTGCTGAGCTGGTGCCAGCATCAGTAAGTGCTACTTCTGCTTATAGCCTCGGTGTCCCGTCTTTCCATTTGAGAATCTGATAACGGTACTGATGACACCAAGGTCGTGGGTTCTACAAGGCCAACGACCTGTAAATAGATAAGACCAGTAGTCTAGAAATTCCTCCCCGCTTGCAGCTCCCCCACCCGAAACTCCTCCTCCCCATCCTGACTCATGATGCACACGTGAAACCTCAGACAAAGGAATCACCACCCCTTGCATGGTCACTGCAAGGTTATATAAGCTGTAAGAAATCTAAACAAAGGGAGTTTGTGCTTTGGTGCTGTTGAAAGCCCCATACTCTCCGCCGGCAATAAATTCTTCTAACAAAGTTGTCTGAGCGTCCAATTTCCTCCATCGGGTGTCGCTTCCCGCAACACTTTCAAATATAGTGCGGTTTGTATTTATCTCAGTTTCCCTTACCCTTATCTATTCTTTTTACACTTTCGCTTACTATCCTTCAGCACAACAAAAGCCCAGGAAACACACACAGTTTTTTTTTAGTGGGTTGAGGAAAAGCAGTGGCTTGAGTATTCACATTCATTTTTCTCTTGTTACGTATGATTTATGTCTTCCTTATGAGGATGTCACTTCTTGCTACTGTCATATGTCCACATATGGCATTTATCACACCCCTAATATGCTGCTTCTAATCTGGTGAATAGGGATTCTGATGCTTGTTACAGTTGTCAGAACTATTCAGAGGCTGCTAGGACATACCTTAAAGGTTTCCTGATAAGTCGAAGGCACAAAGTGTCATGCACGGATTTTATGACATCGCAATATGTTTACACAGTACTCGGAGTTTCAGGTATTAAGTAAATGATAGCTGAGTTGAAAAGTCCTTTACCTGCTTTTTTATCCCCTGGTGTTTCAAATTATAAAGTTTTATTTTCTCCCTTCCCCTACTTGACCCCTTCTTCCCTTCCCCTACCCCTCCGCCACACACACACACACTGAGCACTTACTATGTGTGTCAGGTGCCATGCCAAGACTAGGGAAATGCAATTAACAAGGAAGTGGTGAGCCCTGACCCTGTGGAGATTTCAGTGCATCAGGAGAAAGCCTCAGGGCCCTGAAGCAGAAAGGAGTATGTTTTAGTTGCCACAATAACTGAGTTTATCTAAATTCCCTAATCCCTCCAAAGCTTGTAATTTCCTATTTATTTGCAGAAAGTAGTGTGGATGGGGTACACACTTACTGACATGTAGAGGAGAACTTGTTCTGGCCTCAGAGAATGTAGGGCCTAAGTACATACCATTTCCCTATGAACAGACATATACAAAACGTGGAAACTCAAACTATAGGAACAGAAAGTAAAAAGAAAACCTATAAAGCTTTTAGCTTATGTAAACTGATGGCCCAATTAGATGGTTTCTACCAAGAAATGCAGTACACATAGTTTATGTAGAACTCACACATCAATCTGATGGCTTTAACTAAACTATGAATATAGTCAAACAATTGAGTCAAACCAGTTGTTTTCCTGAATTTCCAAGTCAAACTCACTTTCTGTAGTGGAACTATAGATTGTCTCAATTAATGCAATCTCTGGCATTTTCTAAGAGCATCCTGGAGCTCCATGGAGCAAGGTTGCACGCCAGGGTCTTAGTTCAGGGCAAGTCAGTAGGAGACCAAAGTGAACTGGGCTGGTGAGGTCTTGCTATGATTAATTTGAGGCTTTCATAATAAGCTCTTAGGAAATATGCCTTAGTATTCATATT